TGAGAGGAAGTTACGCTTGCATTCCTGATGAATTCTTTCCGAATATCTTCTCTGCTCAGAGCCGTGGGTGATCGAACATCAACTTCTTGGGATATGGGGGCGATAGAGCAGTCCCTATGATTGAGCGATGGCAAGGATGACCTTCGATTTTGATCATTGAGCGCCGGAAGGAGGTCTCTGAGATGCATTGTAAAAGCACGGCACGCTCCCGAGCAATCAGCTGTTTCTGACATGGAGCTCTATGAAAATACAAGGCGCTGAGACGAAGAGAATCCAGATTAGCAGCCAAAGGTATTGTGAAGATAAAGTAAAAGGTCGATTCCACCAGATCAACGCTACCAAGCCTTGTGAACTGCTTTGGAGTTTTCTGCTAAACAATCAGTCTCAGATGGAAACCATGAAAGGATGAAGTAGCAGGGGTTTGCTCTCGAAAATCTAGCGGCCGATTGCTGCCTCTCAGTGTCGTATTCGGCCCATTACAGATGCCCATTTGAACCACATACATACCCATATCGACGCCGCTTTGCCTGCATGCTGTAGAATAGAACCTCTATGATCTTCCCGTATTTTGGAACTCCAAACACTTGCTTTTCCGAATGATTGATCACCATAATCACCCAACCATACAAAAAACAAAATGTCAGTGAGAACTCACTTCCTTCAGTATGTAATCGTCGGTGATGGGATGTGTTTTAGCCGTCGGAATGGTTCGAATTTTCTTGTCATCCTTCTTTTCATCTACCACACCAGGCGAAACAAAGGAGAAGCCGCGGAATAGTTCATGTGCGGCAGCTGACGGCGGAACTGCCGGAGAGTCTGAAATGGTAATCACTAGTTAGGCGAAAAGCCATGAAAATTTGATGATAGAAGTTTTTCGAGGCAAAAGTGTGAGTATGTCACGTCATCTTCATCTCTGCTTGCCCACGCCCTATCACCGTAAAGGAGAACAGCTCGTGTGCTCACTCCAGGGCTTCGAGCAGATGTGGCAAGAATAATTCAGACAAGACATGACATAACACAGTGGATCACTCCAAATTACCTTTGCAATTATTTTGCACGGGAAAAGGGGCTCAGCCAAAGGATCTTTGTTCCTGTACGAGAGATATGGGTGGGTCGCACATAACAATGCCCTCGAATTGAGCGTGATAGAAACTTTTTCAGTGCCAGTTTTCCCGATTAAAGCGCGCTGTATATTCTCAAGTATTTCACACTTCACGATAGTTCATTTGGATGTTGTTACTTCGTCTTCTGCTCGAAGGATATCAGAAAGGCAAAACCGTATTAAAATGTTTCTCCAGCCCTATACTCTGCCCTGCTTGGAACTACTGGTAGATTAACAGTGCTTTGACGCTATTATAAATAATTTGTCACGAACGGGTAATACTGAGAGGAGCATCACCATTATCTCCGTATTACTACCCACCAGCAAACACTAGGATAATCTGCCGAACAGCGCAAAGGCTAATGCGCCACAGTTATCGGAAAACTGCAATCGTATTCCTTTCCGGAAATGGTAAGGAATGCGACTTCAATGGAAACAAAGGGTTTGGGATAACTTAAAAATGCATCTATGCCCATTGCATTAGTAGGGAGCACGTATTACACCGCCTTGGGTAAACCTCTTACTACGAGATATCGGACACTGCGTCATTCATACTTATTTTACAGTAAGCTGCTTTACAGTACTGCGTTCCATGAAGAAGCTTTTGCCATTCACAGCTTTCAGCCCCGGAAGCCCATCATTATATGTACAAAACAAGACAAGAAGACACGTTCAGCTCATTCCAACTGAAGAGAATCTAGAACAACTTTGAGGTCAGTAACTCCTTCGGTGGGTCTGGTATGCATTCTCAGAATTAGGTGCTGACACCCAAATTGAGTATTTCGGGCTGCTGTCAGCACAACGGGCGAGTTTGTGAAGTTGTATAAACTCTTACAAACGTAATGGTACCAATTTCTTCTCTGGTTTTTTTTGCGAGGTCTTCTCTGTAAATGAGGGAATTAAAATAAGGAAGGGTGGGTTGGGAGTGGAGAAACAATTTTGACTACGGAAAAACGGTGTGCATATTGAGCTGATACCAATTTCGCAGATTTTCAAAGGTCTTTAGAATATTGCCTGGTATGCTGAGGAGAGTTTACTGAATCGTCCTTCTTCACCCCACCCTACCCCTCCCCCCCACCTTCACTCCACTCCCCCCTGCCGCTATCCCCGTCTCTTGCCCAGCAGAATCTGCTCGCGCCATTGTCCACATTGTACAGGATGAGGACAGTACCAGCATGATAGCGAAAAACCGTTCCGATGCAGTAGAGCTCTTGAAAAATCGGCCTTCTCACAATAGTTTCCTCAAAGACAAACTGTTCCTTCACCTTCCGTGGATCCTAGTATTTACCACCTAGCAGTTGGTTCAGCACACAGCTCCCGTAGCGTGCCACTTTGTCCGTTCCCACGAGAAAAGGGCTGGAGTGCGGTTACACCGGGGCACCCTTCCCGGACTCGGCATGCGCTGCCGCACCGTTGATCACAGCCTAACCTTAGCGCGCTCCTTGTTGGCGACCTTTCACTTCTTTTATAGTTGTTGACCTCTGACTGTCTGTTCGCTGCGGGATTTTGGTGCTGAAGCGTTGCTGCACCTTGGGAAAAGCGATGCAGCCAATCCCAGAACAATAAGCCGGCCAAACTCTTTCTAAATGGCAAGCGCTGCGTCAAATTGGCAGATTTCTTGCAATTGACATCTCGCCGTTCGCGGAAAGCCTGCAAATTCACGAGAATGTCGTCACTGCAATTCCCATGATGAATTCCACGGAGTTGCGCCATTTTCTATGCAAAGCAGAGCGCACTGCATAATGAATATGATGTTTCCTGCAGAGCGCTAGAGATTGGACATTGCAGGATTGATTACATATCCATATGTAAGGATACTTTGCAAATCTGCAAAATATCCCGCTAGACTTTGCAGAAGGTAATGGTCAAGCTGAATTATTTCTCCGTGGTACGCTGTGCATGCGTCATTCAGTCAGGATCGGTAGATATCACTGAATGAGAAAGACTGAAAACTTTTTCATAGCCACATCATGCCGCTTTAGGAGTGCTACACATTTTCTCCGAGGTGGTGATGTCGCACATCTATTATTAGGGTGTCCTAAGAGTTCGTGGGCACTTTTTGAACCTGGTGCTATTTTTTCCGTTTTTTTTCAATTTCGAAGTCGAGACATGTGGTGTATACAAAGGGCAGTACGCAAAATCATCAACAGTCGCCTCATGGCCCATCTCAGTGCTTGTCCGTCCGTTAGATGAAATTAATCACTTTTATCACGCTTTGCTTTACGAACCGCGAGTGACGCAAGAGATCCAGGTCAGGTGCTGATGCTACCCCACAGTACGGTATCGAAAAGTGTACGATCGCATTCGCTCAAATGACTATCAGTGAACTTGTTCGCCCAGTGAGGCCATTTGTGTTGGATTTGGCCGGAAGCTTTCGGAGTCAGCTCGTATAAAACCTTATCAGAATGACCAGTCGAAGTTGGAAGAAATGCCTTTACGTGAGCCGTCGTGGAAGCGCCGGCAGCTAAATCATCCAGAAAGGGCAACAGGTCGTAAGTCCTATTAGTCCTGTAGAGAATGACCGACTTTTTGAAAACGGCACAACTTAGGAATCCTGGGCTCGGTGGAGAAGCTTGGCTGAGAAATTCCACTGTGCTCAGAGCTTTAACTTAGCCCATTCTGACTGTTCTAAACCATCAGCAGCCATCTTTCGATCGAAACACGATTTTCCGGATTTCCTGGAAAATGACCGTGCAGTTTTTCCTTGCAGCGAAATCTCTGGAAGCGAGGCGAGGCCAACAACCATTCATTGCTTGTTTATTGGCAACAAAAACTAATTATGACGATTTTGCTTCGCTTTTCATTGAAACAAGTTCGATTTGAGGAAAGATTGAAAATGTCTGGGAACTTTGGGGAAACGCCAACAACAATCTGGGATGTCGGATGATTATACTGGAGGAGTAGGCGAGGTGAGGATGCTTATGGACAGAAAAAATTCTCATGCCCCAATGATAGAGCTTGCTTCCGGTATATGTTCCCTTCCTCCATATTCCCTACATTTTGGAACTTCCATATGGGCACTAAAACATAGCTCTTATGGCTAGGGGTTATAGTGAAGAACGTGTGCAGAAGAAGCTATATATCTTGTTATGGGTTAAATGTAAAGGGGATGCCTCAGGAGACCAATTCCCTCTTCTTCCAAAGAAATCCTCTCACTGGCCTGATCCCTGCTGGTCACCTGCCGTAAGCAACTTTACATGTACCCATCCATCATGTTAAATTTACGACAGCTGCATTTTCAAAAAAAAGTGGGGCAAACCGCTGACAACTTCACGTCCTGTTCACGTGAAATTGATGCACCCTTCCTATGTGGTCACTCTACCATCGTCGCAGTGCCAGCAACAGATTAGCACCAGACCATGAACTTTGTTGGCTGGGATATTTTGGCACAACAGGTTGTACCAAAATAACTGCAAGCAACAGCTGGTCGCCTAACAAGCAATGAGTGCAGTCCACTTAGGAAGGATGAAAGATAAATGAAGGATGAAATCTTCGCCCTTAATCAATCTCTCTTGGGATGCGGCACGCATTCTACTTCCATTCAGAATCGTAGTGGCTTATTGAATGCGATGTGGCCTATACAATGAATTGCGGGGCCAGCCGATGTCCTGTCTATGTTCTTGTCCTCCCAGACTAGTCTGGCGTCGATCCGGGGAAGAAGGTCTGATTGGCCTGAGCGGGAGCCGATCCGGGATTTGACTCGGGACCGCATGCGTGGTAGACGTGCCACTTGCAAGGATAAAGGATAGTCTTCGCCGTTGATCAATCCCTTTGTGGGATGCGGCACGCATTCTACTTCCATTCAGAATCGTAGTGGCTTATTGAATGCGATGTGGCCTATACAATGACTTGCCAGCCGATGTACAAGTCAGTGTTTTATCCTCCCAGACGAATCTGGTACCAATTTACCGTCCCCGGAGGGTAGAAGGCTTGGTTGGCCTGGGCGGGAGTCGACCCGGGATTCGAACCCGGCGCCGCGCGAGTGGTAAGCGCGCCACTTGTCACTACACCACCTCCGCCTCACACTTAGCATATCGCATCAAATTTTGCGATGGCTTTTCGGAGAAGCTCAGCTATTCGGACCCTCAGGGAGCCCCAAACTCAGAATGTGGGCCGCAATCAACATTTACTATTGCCGTGAAAAGCTTATTCCTCAAGTACGGGGTATGTTCTCTAGGAAATCTGTCTCTAGAAATTCTCTGTTCCCTTCTCTCTACCATTTTATGGCAATACACAGCTGTCTTAATGTGAAAGCGGCCAATGATGAAAGCTGAGTCACAGTCATTAGGCCGCAGGTAAACCAATAAAAGAATTCCCTCTGTAGGTAAGTAACACTTTGCAGCTCGGGGGAAGCTCAGCTCTTAGAGACTGCGACCCTATCAACGGCAGTTCCTTGGCTCTATTCGCGTCCCCATAGGAAGGAGGAAGAAGGAATCTGGTAAAAGAAACACTACAGTCAAAAACATGCTGTCAAAACAAAGACTAGTGAATCAACAAGGTAAAATAGGGTGGCTTGTCAGCGGCTTACTTAGACAAACCATCTGCTCCGTCAACCTTCACGGCCCATGAGTGACCTGAGGTTAACGAAGCAAAGAGACGGGGAGTATTTGAAGAAATCGCCCATTTTTGAGCTAACCATCTAGGTGAGGATGGGACAGGGGGTCGGAAGTAAGACGAGCTCTGAAAACGCCAAACTAAAAAAATACCTTTCCCAAGGATTTACCTGATCATTCGTCGTAATTTGAATTCTTTAAAATGGATTAGTGGGCAGATGAGCCCAATTGCAAGTGGCATGATAAATCTCTGAGACGTGTAGGATAAATAAGCCTAGCAGGATAGAATGGCGCCCCTGAGAAAGCGCTGCGTGGCGCAGGGTAGGTACTTCTAGAGCGCCCTATAAAACATACTGACCTGGATGCGCACCGCGCCTGCCCGTCCACAAGTGGACGATTGACATGATGCCGACGGGAGAACTCGTCCGAAATTGCTTTCTCATGTAGAGCAGAGGCTTTTTTCGCAGGTTTTTGACCGTTTCACTTCCCTTTTTCGTCATTTCCTCATTATAAAGCACCGCTGCCACTATTCTAGACCAAATTATCGTGCGTTATGCCTATAAGCTTTCAACTGTTACGGGGGGACAGTGGATGAATAGAGGCATAAGTTCGACCAGCTCTCCTTTATATGAGTAGTGAACAGCTCTTGTTTGTAAAGTTCAAGTGCTCTTTGGAAACTGAAGACACTTATAATCGGGTGGAACTTTTTTTGTTTGTTCTTCCCTAAGGATAATATCTCCACGTGAGCCTCACGTTTTACGTCAATCGGACTCTTCACATTGCTAGGCAAATAGTTGTGTGCTAAACGTATCCATTATGACAAGCACATCTCAAATACGACGACGCCCTTCACTTGCGTAGTCATCGTCTCACAAACACACAAAAACACCACGATTGTCTCCTTTGTGAATGATAGAATGAAACTCGTCAAAGTCGTTTATCGCATAGACGACGTTTCGGGCTTTAAGCCCTTCTTCAGGTCTACAAACATCACATTTAAAGCCTACACCAACATCATCTAACCTTACATACATAGGCAAGAAATCCAAAGGGGAAACAATCAACAAATAACTGACCGGCTTCCTTCGGGAAGGAGGGTCTGGGTGGGAGGGGGATCCGGGAGTATGCTGCAAGATGGTCTATGATGATGTGAGAAACAGTAACACGCAACATTGACTCACCTCCCTAGCTGTCCTTTCCTTCAGAAATGGCACAGCTAGATTGGTGAAGCAGTGGTGGGACTGATACACTGTCATATATGTCACGTATCACCCGTTATGTCACATCATTGTGCAGCATCAGGTACCAGGAAGGCGTCCCACTGATAATTCCCTTTCTCTCAGACTCCTTCGCGAAGGATGTCAATCGAGTTGTAAAGAATTCGGGGATGCCAATCCGCTTGATATTTCGACCGCCGCCAACACTACGTCGTCTTCTTACGTCGTCACGAGTATACGAAGACCGATGTGGCCGCGAAAACTGTCTTTACTGCCAGGAGGAACGAAAGATCTGCCTTTTGAAGAACACCGTGTACGAAGTGGAGTGTGCGTCATGTTCGGAATTCTACATCGGAGAAACTGGACGACCACTCTAAAGGCTTGATGAACATCTGAGGGCTTTCCGGAACCCAGCCAGCTATCCGGATAACCCTTTCTCGAGACATCGTTCCTCGCGCCACACGAATGAGCGTGCACCTGAACTCAAGGTGCGCGTGATCCACAGGAACATAAGTGACCCGGTGGAAAGGAAAAGGAAGCGCTGGAGATTCGAAGGAGGAATCCACCGATCAACAACAGGGGGAGCTAAGAAGGACAATGGACATCATTGCTCGGAGGAGCTAAGAAGGACAATGGACATCATTGCTGCACAATGATGTGACATAACGGGTGATACGTGACATATGACAAAAGCAGTGTATCAACATCCCACCACTGCTTCACCAATCTAGCTGTGCCATTTCTGAAGGAAAGGACAGCTAGGGAGGTGAGTCAATGTTGCGTGTTACTGTTTCTCACATCATCATAGACCATCTTGCAGCATACTCCCGGATCCCCCTCCCACCCAGACCCTCCTCCCCAAGGAAGCCGGTCAGTTATTTGTTGATTGTTTCCCCTTTGGATTTCTTGCCGATGAATGTAAGGTTAGATGATGTTGGTGTAGGCTTTAAATGTGATGTTTGTAGACCTGAAGAAGGGCTTAAAGCCCGAAACGTCGTCTATAAACGAGTTCCATTCTATCATTCACAAAAAGCACACAAGACACGCTGAAGCTCAGAAATCCTCTCATTTTACAAGATTTTCGTTAAATTTCCACGGAAAAGGGATACTAATTGCCGTAAGAAGCCGTAGTTGGCAATGCAATGGCGTAGCTAACAGCTCGAGAAAGGAACGAACGAAAGATCGGTAGTGGGAGTTTCGCCGCAGATCGGCGACGAGGGGAGGGGGCACTTTGTACGGAGGTCAGTTCCTAGTTCCGGTGTTAACAAGTCTCGCGTTTGGCAAAACCTGCGGAACTCATGGTAAAATCGGTCAACTCGAGAAGAGGTTGCCTACGTAGGTCGATGTATCGATGGGAAGTAGCAAAAGTGCAAAGTTTTCTACAGTTGTGGCGCAGCAATGCCAGCTTGGAGATATCAAAGGTACTCTCTTCAAGATGCATCTTCGGTCCCCATGAATGCTGATGATGTGTTAGCTCTTCTTCAATCTACAGCTGCGACCATCACTCCAAATGTTACAGAAAAATCGTTCGGCTCACGTTTTAGCCTTGTCGCCCTTGTCAGAGCTTTGAAATGTAGGGCGGGCTTTACTGGGACCGTAGCTACATGTGCTCTTCAGAGGATCCGTAAGGGTTAGGAAGGGAATGTGCCAATTTTCAGGAGGATTTTCTCGCCATCCATCTTTCGAAGAACCTCAGGGTAGCACCGTAGACTCCCACAATTCTACCTCGGATCCAGTCCAGTCAGTAATCTTTCCGGCAGGACGTGTCCCTTTACACATCCCCGACTGCTCACGTGTGCGACACGCAGCTAAAGTCTCACATACCTTCATCAAAAGTCGTGGCAGCGTGCATTTCACGAGGGGAGACCGGAAGCCCCTAGGACCTAGCCGCAATCCGTCATAAGCGTCAAAACGACATCTCACCTTTTCAGATGGATTGAACCTATACCTGTCTCTCAATAGGGTAAAGAGGCGCAAAGCCGGGACGGGGGGGGGCATTTTGCACTTCACTAGTCTGTTAGCAAAACCTGTGAACTCTTGTGAAGCTGGAGCAAGCTCGTCGAGCCACCATAGTAAAACCTGTCAGCTCAAGAAAATGCTCCTAGATAGATGGACACCTTGATGAGAAGTAGCAATGGTGCAAAATCCGCCAAACACCCGCGGGCAAAGGTTAGTATCCTTCACGGTCGATATTTAGCCATCATGTTCTGATGGAGCTAACTCACGGAAGACGTTGATGGAGTAGGAGGGTTCGCCTATTTCCACAGAAGACTGAGCATATTTTGAGCCATACACTCCATATCCTGTAGATCGAGAGGAAGTAGCTGCGCAAGTTGTGCAAAACGTCAAACGTCATGATAGTGTCAAATAAACTTTGTCCAAATGAGAATATCTCACGCATACGCATCCTGCGTGATGTTCAGATGAAGTACGCAGCAACGCCCACTGCATCTCTGGAATACGCGCGCCGTTATCCCGTGCGACTCTGCAAAATGCAGAAATATATCCAGAAAGTAGGGTAATAGGTACAGACATGTGAGTCAGTTCATCACATTTGTTCCCCACTGAAGCAGCTGCAAAAGCTTTCACTAGGCTTATCAACCTATCACCCGTTTATCACCACCGCGATAACGACGGATGAAAGCGGATATACAAATCCATCAACACGATTGCCCTTCCAACCATGAGAGCACATCTAAAGTTATTGGAGAGGATATAAATAGTTAGGCTGGACTCAGGCTGGTTTTGGTAACTGAAGAGATCTTAGACACATGGCAACAAACCTTTTGGTGTTCGTTTAGTGAATTCAGGATCGAAATACAGCGTGCTGTCGATGGTTGTTACAGCTGGCTTGAATGGTGGTGATAGCTCCTTATTCAGCAATCGATCGAAATTTATTGAAGCAAAGAAAGGATGGCGCTTGATTTCCTGAATATATCTGATGACAAAAGTGAAGCAATAATTGGAAAAGGAGCCAGATGGAAGGTGAAAGACCAAACCTCAATTCCCTCGGGACCGGCGCCAAGTCGATTCACTGCATTTCGCTTGAACAGAGCTCGAAGCAACGACTGAGCTTCCGGTGACAGAAACTGAGGCATCGTCAGTTTTGCTCTGAAAGCACGAGGATAAACGAATGTCCGTATCATCTGTGTTCCAGAAATTTGGAATTTTCCACTTTTTCCACAGGATTTCTTGGAAAGCCCACCACGATCAAAGAGACTCAATTACAGCGAAATACCCTCCAGCTAGTGAAGCCAAAACACAGCAACTGGACCGCTAGCCAAAGAATCAGCAATGCGACGATTTCCTGCGGATTGTGCAGGCTTGCAAGTCTTGGATGGGTATCATTCCACTGGTGCTTGATAACAACCTCACTCGTTATCAGGGCAAATCATTGATTGGGAGTTCGAGTGCAGCTCGTGCAACCCCTGCCTCCTAAAAGTAATAGCTTGAATGTGCCCCACCCTAGTTCCCTCCTCCAATACGATCGAACTGTCGAACAGGGGGAGGGGAGAATTATACCCCCTTTGAAACGGGGAAAACGCAAAAAATATACGACTCCCCTCTCCATTCTACCTATCATTCTCCTGGGTTTTCCCCAACTTTCTGCCACTTTTCCGGACTTTCCCGAAAATTCTCCTTCTCCTTCTCCAAAACTTTGCTGCCGGGCGGGGAGATATATAGAGCACGTGAAACAGGAAAAACCACGAAAAGTCAACAACGAGGGAACAATTTTTCTCCACGTCGCGTATTCCTCCCAGAAGGACGAATAACCGTCTGCCCTCACTTCGACGAGCAAATACGATTCCCTCGCCTCATAGTGTCCGAAAAATCAGCCATCGAAAAAAAAATTTCTCGGACCAAAACGACCAACCCTTTCCCCCAGCGACCAAATACGACCCCACCATTGTTGGGGAATCCCCAACGATGATGTGCCCTGCTCCTCATTCCAATGTATGCACTTCCAGAAACTTCATTTCGACCTGCATTCCAAAGATGGAATAACCAGCCAAGATTCAGCGCTCACCCCTCAAGAAACTCGGCTGGGTAGAATTCACGTGTCACAACTTTGCACCACTCTGCCTCTCAAAGCCGCTTGAAGCCCTTAGCTATCGACTTCGAGCCCATTCCGTTAACGTGCATTTAGAAACCTCGCGGCTGGGAACAACGGGGCATAGCACGCATAATTCACACCTTCAGTGTTCGTCATGGAAACGCGCGTTCGTCGCTACTCAAAGGAGTTATGAGAGCAAAACATGCCGTTGCTGTCAGGTGAAATTTGCCGCGATTGGAGTGAAAGCTCGAATGCTGTTGTGCTACTTGGCCTTTTTCCAAAAATGACATCATGGCTCGTTATTCGAGAAGAGCGCTGCGATGCTATCTAGCACGAATCTGACACCTCGACTAGGCCAACGGCCAACTGCAGCTCAGCAACGATGGCATCTCGAGTTTCGGCAACCCCGCTGCATTGTTTCCCGACAACTGCCCCGCGGATTAGAAAAGAAACATAACTACTTGCAAAACTCACTTGAGGATTTGGGTCATTGTGTCTTTCCGATCGTGACCTTGGAAGGGCAAATGGCCAGTGAGCATCTCAAACTGCAACAAAATGGATTAAATAGAAAAAAAAACAATAACATGCAATTACACTGTCTCAATAATAGTATTTAATTTTTAGGATTACGTTTTTTTTCGTCATCGCAGCTGCGAGAGCTGGAGCATGTGGAAATTGCAAAAGCAGGCAATGATTTAACGGGAAGTTTTTGCTTCTTGGGCGGAATAGATTGTCACGAAATGACGTCATTTCTTTTAGGGCCTGCCAAGCTTCATCATTACTTGCAAGACTACGGTAATGAAAGAGATGTAAAAAGACAGAAGTAGAAGTTTCAGCATTAGCATAAATATATATGAGCATATTGTTTGCTTGCTTTTTTAACCACTTAGCCATCCTTTACCATACTGGGTCAGGATCAAGAGTTGCTTTGTCAGATGACTCAGCCTCACCCACGTCGGAGCTTATCCCCTCTGGGCTTCTGCAGGCTTCAAGTCCTCATCTCCAATGCGGTAATCTTAACTTTGAACGAAATTACCTTAAATATCAAGGTTATTAGCACTGGACAGGTCAACCACTGTAGTGGGTGTGTTACTGATACTTGGAAAAGTGGCGTAAGAGCTCCAGATGCATACCGCTCACAGCTGACCACGCCACCTCATGGCGGGAAAGAACGGGAGGCAACCATTGCAAATTCGGGCTGGACAATGACGGCATCGTCCCTCTAAATGCCCTCGCCACGTATTCTTTCGCTTACTTTCTTCTTCTTCATAACCTTTTTCAGTGATGGGTTGCTTATTATCTACGGATTCGAATAAATGGAAAGGATAAAGTCTTCGCCGTTGATCAATCCCTTTGTGGGATGCGGCACGCATTCTACTTCCATTCAGAATCGTAGTGGCTTATTGAATGTGGCCTATACAATGACTTGCGGGGGCCAGCCGATGTACAAGTCAGTGTTTATCCTCCCAGACCTATATGGTTCCAATTTACCGTCCCCGGAGGGCAGAAGGCTTGGTTGGCGTATGTGGGTGTTGAAGCGGGATTTGAACTCAGGATCGCGATAGTGGTAAGCCGCCACTTGTCACTACACCATCACCGCATCGTTGCTTACATATAACTAAGAATCAAATCGACTAACCACATCGGGGGGTGGGGAGGCAGGCTCGCTCAAGGAGTTTTTCGCATTCTCCTTTGCTATTTTCTTCTTTTTCAGTGATTCAGTTATTATCTACGGGTTGTTTTGGAGTACCATTGCCCCCCCCCCCATACAGTTGGATTTTTGACAGCATTTGCAATGGGAGCCGATACCAGAACTCGAATATGTCCTTCGAGGAAGTCATTGATAACATGACTTTCACCTTGATAGAGGCAATGAGCTGAAGGGGTAGTTGCAGAAGTATAGCCGTCGCGGAGACATCCAGTAACCCCAGTGGCTGGGAGGGTCATTTGGTGAACTCTCTCAAGTTGAGGAATGCGAAACAAGCGCAGCGTAATAAGCATGAGTTCCATTCTAAGAAAAGGAGTGGAATAGAGCAAAAACCACGGTTGGTGAGAATCGATCCCCCGTTCTAACTGCCTTTCAGCTGATTCATTAGGCGACCAGCAGCAACCGCCGATCGGAGCGTCGTTACACTTCGTCACTTGAGAAGGCCACTTCCGGCAAAAAGACCTAGCAACACATAGGCGGAACCGAAAATAATCCGGGTTATTAAAAGCAAAATATTAACAGCAGAACGCAGAGAGAATCTGAAAAAATACTGTAGCAAAAATACGGGATAGGGTTAAAAACGAGATTTCTGGACAGTGCTGAAATGTGAAGAACGGGCTATGAAACATAGCCAAACTCCGCCTGTTGTTCACTGCCTTTCAGAGTTCAATGCATTATGGTCGGATGGAATCCATCATGGAAAACCCTATAGAAGAAAAAACTCAGTCTTCCCATGGTTTGCTCTCCATTTCGAGATTTATTTCGGCTGCTTATGCAGCTTTCAGACTTCGCGACGGCAGCGCTTCGGTCGCGCGTTCGACGCGATCGATGCAGTCGAAAGCATGCGCATCGATCGCGCCGAACGCGCGACCGAGGCGCTGCCGTCGCGAAGTCTGAACGCTGCCTTAGTGCTGAGTTTTGTGTATACGTCACACGCTAAGCAACGTTATCGAAATGAGCATTTCACTGGCAATCGAAGTAAGGTCAAGGGTGTCGTTGCAAGAGACAACTTGAGCGAACTTGAGATCGCAAGGAGGAAGAAACTGATGGTAGGGTGAAAACATTCCTTTTTATCTGTGCAATGAGGAATTTCCCAGCGTCATCTCCTCGGCCGGCGAACCGGCAGTGGTAACAAAGCTGAGTGGTCAGGAAAAAGACTTTTTCTGAAAAGCATCGATGATTCCAGAAGACTTTCTAGTTACCCTAGTCGGGAAAATGCATCTAACCGAACACTCTAAGCACACATGATTCCTTACGCCCCTTCCGTCAAAATCGGCCTAACAATAAGCATCAGCTCAGAACTTTAATGTGAGAAAGCGGTACTTTCCCAGCTCATTACTCCTATGGAAGCTTATTTTAAGATCGACTTACCATCAAAACACCCAACGACCAGAAGTCAGCGGCGCATGAATGGCCTCGTCGATTTATCACCTCTGGTGCCATATACTCGATCGTTCCTGGAATTCAGAGGTTGTCTCAGTCAAAGATCAAACTGCGATAATGTAAGGTGAAGCAGTAACGTTGAGACTGGACATGGTTGAGCAAACGGTAGGCTGTTTTGAAGGGTAATTTGAACGGTTCGGTCAGACTTCTATTGCAGGTCTGGTCATCACATCCACTTGCACAACCTTGTTCTCGCCGATGTCCCTCCCCACAACGTAGGCATACAAACCTTTAGTTAACCTGCTTACTTAACCGCTTATTTTGCTCTCTAGAACCGTGGGGAAATCTCGTTACGTTAACGAATTCAACTCACAACTATATAGAGACTGAGGATATGACGTAGATGAGGAATCCTCAACAATGGGGTGTATTTCAGTCACCCTACAGATGCAAGCTAGTTGGCGCTGTGATCCAATTACCATCAAAACACTCAACCATCTGAGGCCAGCTGTGCATGGTACCACAGCGCCCGGGTCGATGAGTTTCTTCAGTGATATCTTCGAGGAGAGAAAGAAGGAGAGGTAAGGCTTGAAGATGGAGGCTCAGAGGTAGCCCCGGTTTTTTTAAGTTTCTTTAATGAGTTTTCTGGGGTAAGAAGGAAGGTTCTGGGATAAGAAAGGGGTGAAGGTAGAGGAGACAGAGAGTCGTACCCAACGAAGGGATGGAAGGGTCGCCCTGAACGATTTAAATCTAATCCTATTTTCCTCATCGATACGTCGTGCTCTGATCAGAAACCGGGGAAAAGTGAATGAGCTCTTTTGAAGGCCTGCAGAGCTCGTGCACAAGACCTCTGGAATCGCTTACAGTTGGAATCCACACTGCCTTGAGGCAGCCAGCATGAAGAGCACCAGATGCGGTCAGCAGTGGAATGGAGAGCGCAGTGAGGACATGTGGTGTGCTGCCGCGTCACCAAGAGTAGCCTCTACATTCAGAGGGATATTAAAATAGAAGCATAAGAAAGAGCGGTCCAACACTGGGACCAGTTACCACTGGGACATTCCTACTTGAGCAACACACTAATTTGAACGATTACCAGGGTAACCCGGGAACTGACCAAAAAATGAAACAATCAATCAGGTCTCAGTAAACGTACCACAAAAACTATAGGTCTTCTTCTCATTGTCGATCGATTCTTTGCTGAGGCCGAAATCGGTCACTTTAATGTGGCCGTCAGCGTCCAAGAGAATGCTGAAAAAAGGATAAGTATCCAAACATGACATTACAATTTCTTTCCACTCCGTAATAGCACTCACTTTTCCGGCTTCAAATCCCGATAGACAATACCGAGTGAATGAAGGTGCTCCAATGCTAACGTCAACTCGGCCAGGTAGAACTTCACATCCTCCTCCGTGAACATGACCTGTAATTGGTGTACAGTGCAACATTCCAGTTCTTCAATGAATAGGGCTACATCCACGACATATCCCATCCTACGACATTTCGGTTTGTCGTCCTCACAATTCGGTTTGTCGACCTCACGAACTTATTGGGAGCACTCGGTCGCATTACGTCGGTTAGGACCAACAAACAATAATTCAGAAAAGTGTCAACAAACCTCCTTCGACAGCCGCGTGAACAGATCACCACCTCGTAAAAAGTCCAGAATTAGGTAGAGTTTGCCCTCGGTTTGGAATGCTGAAAATGGAAAGTATGAGGATCGAGGAGAGCCCAAGAGAAATAAAGGAAATCAGGCGCTGTGCCAAACATTGCGTCTTTTGTTTGCGAAGACCACAGATTAAATGGTCCCTAAGGCTTTCAGCGAGGATTTGTCAGAGTCCCGTGCATCCATAAATAAACCGTCATGCGCTTCGAATCTAATAGGGTTGGTCACCAACAAGATGTCCCACTGAACTCTGAATCAACCAAAGGTCTACTTTCCGGACTGTTCCATGTTATCAACATCGTTGCGAAAACCACATCGGGGGAAGTAGAGGGGACAAGAGGACGTACTTGGCGCGGTAAAACTTGTCCGTCATTACCTCTGCTTCAGGTGCCCACACCTCCTCTTCTAGCCAGTGACACTCCCTTTTACTGCATTGAAAACTTGACCTGACGTTCGCCATTTCTCTCTACCCCCTTCCCTCCCTCTCCCAGGAGAGGCAATGACGTTCTCATGCTATCCTTTTCTCCATTCCAGGAATTCTTATTCAAATCTGCATATGAACTCTGACTTTGGAAGCAAAAGAGGGCGCGCCACCGTAGAGAAAAGAAGTGTCCCCCAGACAAAAGTGCGGACAACTAACCGTAGTGCAATTTGACGATGAATGGATGTGAAATGTGTGCTAAGATATTGCGTTCCATTTTCGTCCGCAATCGATCACGTACTTTCAGTGTGGCCTTCTTCAGTACCTAAAAAAGGGCATCAGATGATGCAATCGACAAAAACTCTTAACAAACAATTCATTATGGAGAGAGTATTTACAAAGAAGTATGTTTAGTAAAATAGAAATAAGCCACTGCTCAGCCTGCGACAATTGGTCTACAGACAACCAAGAGGTATAGCAATAATTATAAGATCTCGAACGTCAATGGCTCTGTACACCACCGCATCTCCATGAAAGCCCCCGGGCAGTTTGGCGACGGA